ATATATATGTATGTATATATATATCATTATGGAAACGACAGTATCCTATCATATGTTGGGTGTAAATATTCGTACACACATCATCCCACATCCTAATTAATGTCTCAAAGATCAACTGATATTCAACAACAGGTATCATCAATGAATTTCAATTCTTATTTGAGTGATTTACACAAAATATTTTACGATCAGTATGTGTTTGTATAGTTTGTGTAACAGTATGTGCCAACTATTATTTATGTGTACACACGTGCTTTTGTGCCATATATTTAATTTCTGTTGTATGACGCGCATGTTTGCCCTTGCTATTGTCTCTTTATGTGCGGTTCGACATTGTATTTGAATCGGCGGAGTTCATCGGTTCAAAATCGGTGTCTCACTGCACCTATGGAAACAATAGCAAGGGCAGACATGCGGGGCATACAGCAAAAAAAAATTGCACATAGCGCAAAAGCACGTGTGTGTACACATAAATCATACACATGCACACATACACACAGATGCCATATTTTGTGTTTATTTAAGATTATAAATTATAATATAATTATTACACGAGTATAGAGTTTACTTATGAATTTAACTTAACATACATCTTGTCATCGGACGACGATTCTGAATTGTTATGGGATGTAGTTGATCGTAGTTCTTATCGAAAACCTCGATAAGTACTTCAGAATGTAATAAGCCAGGCCTCCACATTAGATTCTATGTTATTAACGTGCTCTTAAGCAGTACGTAAATCATAGACATACTCTTAATCGTACGAGGAACTTAAGTTACCTAATATGTACTTTTAATAGCACGAGGAACTTAAGTTTCCTAAATGGTTTTTAATTATTTTATTAATTCATACCTTTTACATTTTACTTATCAGATATTTGGACGAGGCCATTAAAAGGCCTCAGTAAAATACCAAACATAAGAGTTGGTCTAGTTCTATTTATAGAACTATATTTACTTTCCAACTTTACTTATATCTGAATACTTCGGTAGCGAGATAGCTCAACCGAATATAGGTTTCTAGGGACTATTAACGTTACCTAGTTGATCCTCCGATGAGCCAACCAGATGTGCCAGTCTGATGAAGGCTAAGTCGGTAATTCTTGATAATGGCAAGTTATTGGTTAAGACAATAACAAAGGACATCAAGAAATTTTGTACTGAGAGGATTATATATAGACAATGTCTCAGCCTCACAATCCCTCAGAGTATTGCTGTTTTCACGAGGCATACCTAACTTTACTAAATGTCTCATTTCGTTTATTTACTTTGATATTTACACGATACTTAGAATTCACCTACGCGTTTATTTATTCTAAGGCATTAGTATCGCCTTAATAGACCGAATCTTACAAGAAGTACGAAAAGGGTTTCTTACCACAATTTTGGCATGAAATTCAGTGGTACTTTCCATGTACGTTTCCTCATCATAGTTGCTGTCCTGCTCGATGTTGGTTTTTCTGCTTTTACATTATCTTACTTGTAGTGGTTCCTCATTTACGATGACCACACTTTCGATATACAGAGGTGCTGTCATAGGATTTCCTTTAAATAGAAATCGACCACAAAGCCCAACTGGACCTCACTGTCATGCATCAGTTTCCAGCTCGTATTGGCATAGTATGCACCAAACCATCTTACAACATCCTCCAAAGTTCGAAAAGTGTGACCAGCAGCGGGACTTCGTAGAGTTGTCGTCGAATTCGCAACTTCATTGGTATGCTCGTTGATGTTGTCACAGTCAGCTGATAAATTTAGTTGAGGTAGCGCATTCTTTTGGAACTTGATTACACCACGTGGGGTACGCTTAGCGTATAAGATCGGAAGTGAGATACGCATATCTATCGTCTGTTCCTGAAATAGTTTGGAAAAGCTAGTAATTTTCGGGAATACTCGACATTCTCTCGTAGCTTTTTAACCCATTTCTGGCGTACTTCAGTATTTGTCGGGAATCTCACTAGATGGGTTCTGCCTTTACACGTTAAAACACTACACTGTGGTGGCATGATAATTGATTGATACTATGAGTGATGAGTCTGTGAATGACAACATATATAATGTAATGATCCGTAATATATTCCCCCGTTGTATCGCTGTTTTGACGATCACGTAATCACGTTGCCAAAATGTGTTGGCCAATAAATATAATTTTGACCACTAAATTTCTATACAATTTTCATTCTTAAAAAAGTGATATACCAAGTTGAATACTTTCAATATTTTCCGTAGTCAAATGAAGGTAGCCTCAACATGCGTTTTGACTTGCTGACGCTTTCATGTGTCCCCAAATAGTCTATAAATTGTTGTGTCTACTAATGTGACCTTGCTTGTAACGTATACAGAATTATAGGACATGACGATTGCATAACATATAATAAGTGCTATGTCACGATAATCTGCCATAAGTTGGACTGAATCATTTAGCTTGAATTTGTTTCACAATACTGTTGAATCCGACTGACACCACTAAATATTCATCGTAACCGCCCATAATACAAGGTGTGTGACCATCCACATACTTTTATTAGTTTTGGTTGATTACAGCACTCTGGGATCAGTATTATGAGTATAAAAGCAAATTGATCACTGTATGTGTGGGTTTTCGTTAACCACCAATTCAATTGATAGTAGGCATAATGGCAACAATACAATTTGTATTAGTGATTTTACTATGAAATTGGTGGTCAAAAATTCAGATAATTAGGATGTGTGTTTATGGATGTGTGTACACGTATGTACGCACATGTGTACATGTGTGTATGTGTATACGTATGTGTGTACACGTATGTATGCACATGTATATGTATGTGTATGTGTTTACTGTATGTGTTTACGCATGTGTTTACTAACAATACGACATCATTCAAATGTATACTAATATATTGCATTGTATCAATTTATTCTACAAATAAATACAGAACACTATACAGAGCAATCCATTAAGGGATCCTCAGCTTTCACCCCTTCCTCTTAATGGACTCTGCATAGTATGTTATCAGTACATACCGTGCTTTATAGTTAGTTATTTTCTTCCATGGCCTTTGTGGTTCGGGTTTTAGGGTTTAGAGTATTGTATGTGTGTAGTTGTGTACACGTATGTAACTATGTATGCACAGGTCTACATGTTTTTAATGTGTTTGTGTATGTGTTTAAGTGGATGTGTTTACGCATGTGTGTACACGTATGTATGCACATGTATATGTATGTGTATGTGTTTACTGTATGTATTTACGCATACAGTCACTAACAATCGCTTTCGCGCTCATTTTATGAGGAAAGATAATAATCAAGGTATGTGTTCTAATGTCGATTCCTTTATTATTTTGTCTATACGCAAGCATATAGGTATGTATACATGCAATTAGACATGGACACATGTCTATACGCAAATGTAAACCTATTATTATTTATATTATATACTTATTGTTATACTATCGCAGATGAAGACTGTCGCCACTATGGTATATAAACATATGGTTATAAATTTATTCTAATTTCAATAGATACTTTATCAAGTATTGGCAGTCGCACAAGCTTAATGGGATCGACGGATTTCACCCCTAATCCCCATCAGGCTTGTGTGCTGTCAGAAATTAAATAGTTGTCTCAAATATCATTTGCTTCATCTTCGTAATCTTCCAGTATCTCGGTCAATGGCGGCAACAGACTTGAGTTTCCTTTCACAAAACTTATTGTGGCGAAAGTGGAACCTGTTCGAAGTTCAAAATCAGTTACTTTTAAATACAACAGAGTAATTAATCACTTATACACTGTTTTAAAAAAATTATCACGAGTATACTTACCTTTGAATTATGCCTTTCGCTTTTTATCTTGTACGTTTCCGCTCAATGAGAAGATACTTTCCAACCGACACGAAGTTAGTAATACACTGAACGATATTAAATCAACCACGTACAGGATAGGGAACTGGTATCTCAAACTATGCCAGCACTACAATGCTTATTTGCTTGGGTGCATCCGCTTTTTAACAGTCTTGGTTCCTAATCCTCTCCCTATCTGAACAGATGTTTCTTTGGGTGCAACACAAGGCAGATTATCCCATGCATTAAGTTCCCTTCGTATTTTAACCCTAAATGCTGCAGTACTCGACTCACGAAGTGGTGTCCCCTCCTTTTCGCCCATTGATGCCTGCCTCAATTGCGCTAGTTTTCGACGTCGTTTACTGACGGAGGATAGTGTTAAAAGATCAACAGTATCCAGCAATTCACCTGATTGCAATACAGCTTTGGATTTGATCGGCTTTTTGTTTGTTTTCTTCACCTGTAGGCTTATTAGGCGTACATGATTCTGTAGACTCACCAGATTCTGTTGATTGTTCCGTCGTAACTGTCGCCTTGTCTGTCAAGTGTTTCTCCAGACTAGACCTTGCCTCAAATATAGCAACATATGTATTTGTTATTTTCCTTTTGATTTCGGCCAGTGTTGTAGTTCGTGTTTCTGATGTGAAGCTCGGTGACGTTAGATCCTTGTGGAGCGGGTGGAGATAATAGTTAACTAGTGTATCAATATTTGGCTTCTGTGGAAAGTAATGCGAGAGGTTCTCTCCAAGTCTAACGCGATAAACCTGTATTGCTTCAGATAGATCTTCTTCGCTTGTAACCTCGTATTCTGATTTTGGCCCCGATGATTTGGCCACTTCGATACTAATATCATCCCCCATAAGGAGTTTGCAATCAAGTATATGTTCCATGGTATCCGTCAAGCTGTCTTTCGCGGATTGAATATTCATCTGGCCTCGCCGTACTTCGCGTATATATTTTGTGCTTTTGAATTTATCTCTTTGAATCTTGCCTCGTGCGGTGCCCCACAGACTATCAGTCATTGGCAAACTCTCTAGGATAATCTATTAAGTCCTGGATCACAGGACAATTTAGATCATCTCTCTTGACCATTAAATACACTCTAATCCAGCGTACCCCACCATTTGCAATAGCCCTGGTGAACTTTCATAGTTTAAGACTTCTTGTGCACCTACTAATCTTTCCGCACCTATGGGGCCCCTGGTCATAAACGCTGACCTGGTTGCACAAAAGTGCAACATGTCGAATACGGGTTTACTATCGTAAGCTGGTGTATTCACATCTTTCATTGCTTACTGGCTGTCTGCATCTAGAAGAGTCTCAAAGATATTGAGTTGGTTTTCTGCATTTTCTTTGTGTAGTCCCTTTTCGTTGACTCGAATACCTCTCGCATTTTGTCGGTTGCTGTCACTAATGTAAGATTCGGTCTAATAAAGGCGATACTAATGCCTTAGAATAAATAAACGCGTAGGTAAATTCTATATATCGTGAAATATCGATAT